AAGGGAGGGTTGCATGCTCGGGCTGTTCAGAGCCGTGCTGTGGCTGCTAGCCAGGCTCTGCCTGGCAGGATCACCATGGCTGCAGCCCCAGGAAGCCACCAGGACCCCAGGTAAGGCTGCTGGGGCCAGTATAGTGTTGGCCCCAGCCTCCTCTACTGCCCCTGGGTCAATTTGCCACATACCAAAGCCTGCGTGGCATGGGCATTCCCCAGGGACAAACCAAATGTCTACACACATCTGGATGCACCCCTTGAGTCTAACAGGGGTGCCTCTGCCAACTGTTGGCAAAGACCTGGCATTGTCATCACAAGTGTGGTCTGAAGCTACGTGACAGATGTTAAGTGCAGGACCTGAGGTAACTTTGGAAGGGAAGGCAGGGGACTATAGGCATTTTTACATGTGTTCTGGGAAGCGGCACTGGGTGCTTTAATTAGTGAGCCATGCTAATTAAAAGCACCTGCACGTCACATGTCAGTGTCCACACGCTGAAAAATGACGGTGCGGTGCTTTGAACTACAGCTCATTGAATGTGTTTTAGTCCAAAGCGCCCCGCTGCCATGTTTCCAGTGGGGGACACTGATCCATGTGACGTAGAAAGCTGCTGGAGTGTGCCAATGCTCCAGCAGGCTGGATCAATTGAGTCTGCTCCGACACGCTGGATTTCCGGTGCATTGGAGCGGGCTCCCTGCGCACCTGTAGGAGCCCAACATTTGCATTTCAAAGTAGAATCTGTAAGGAGTGAGACTGGAATACCTGAGAAAAGGCAAGAGACAACACGGATGCTGAATGTGTGAGAGTCGTGAGAGACATGGCATACATGAACGACCCAAAGGAGAGAAGGGGGTGCAGATCCCATTAAAAACCCAGGCAAAGATGAGGCCTGTGGCACCATCCTCACCAGCCAGGAAGACCTAGCCCAGAGGAACTTCTGATCACCTGGCTACAGACTCTGTCTTCGGGACTACGTTAAGACCGAGGCAAAGTTTCTGTTTCACCTGTGTTGTGTGCTGTTGCTGTGTCTTACTTCGTGCCATCGCAGCGTCGGCAAAGTTTTCCCGTTGTTCTTTCTCACGTACCTGAAATGGCAAATTGCTGTGCTCAATAAACGCTCTCTTCAGAGAAGGGCCCAGTCTTGTGCCCGCATTTATGAATTCAGTGCCGCTCCCCCAAATCCAACGTTAAGCCGGGTAACAGAAGGGCTGCCGTGAGAGCGCCTCGCCTCTAACCAGGCAGGGGTTGCCTTGATCTCAGGTGGGGTGCCTTGAGGTTTGAGCAAAGTCTCAAAGGAAAAACTTCCTCACATGTTCCTTGGGTTAGGGCGCGCACACTCCCACAAGTTTGGTTTTCAGACTTATTTTAGCCCTCGGGGAATTGGCGGCAGTATTTTATGCTGCGGTGTTTTGAATCATCTTCTACGGTCGTGATACAGTTCACGTGTTTCCCTTCGTTTTGACGGGGGCCCAAAGGGTTTGGGATAAGGAAAAGTTTGAGGGGGCGCCTGAAGGCTGAGGAGAGAGACTTGAGTGTAAGAGGGGACACCCGGAGGCTGAGGATGGCGACGTGAGTGTAAAGGGGCGCCTGGAGGCGGAGGGCGGGCTCAGGCTGCCGCCGCGCCCCAGAGGCAGCCGCAGCCGTAGCCGTGGCGGCGGGGAGCGGGCCGGACGCCGGACGC